GGGAAGTTTGGTGTAGGGAAAGGCTCTTCATCCAGCCTTGGCCTGTGGGAAAATTTTTAGTCTCAGGGAGATTGTTCGGGTTAGTATAAGGGTATTAAAACAGAGAAGAGCAGAAGCAAATAAATCAAACAAATACTAAGACTGTCAGGAGAAAAAAAAGTTACTATTAGATGGTGTTTATGGAGGAAAGAAGCTGAAATCCCATTCCTCAAGTCACTTAAAGATGTGGTGAGCAAAATGCATTTTATAACAATCCTGAAGTGGCACAAAGTCAAAAATAAGTTTCTACTGTCTCTTATTTCTGGATTTCTCTGTATCTTCATTTTTTTCATGGAACAATGTGTCCCCATACTCTTCTGTATTTTGCATCTGCTCCATACTATGTAGACAAATCAGAGTTGATCATATGCAGGACAGATGTTTTAATATATGAAGGATTATCCAGTTTAAAGTTGATGGGCTTTTTACTCCTTAAAGACCACAGATAAATGTGCCTTCAGAATGTAATGAACCTTCCTAAAACCTATCACTATCATTAAATTTTAATCCTTTACATAAACTGTCTCTTTTCTTTCTCTTCCAGGATCCTGGATTTCCGTCGCGTGCCACCGGTTGCAGGTAGACTGGTTAACATGACGAGAGAAATACGAGATGTTACGCGTGACAAGAAACTGTGGAGAACGTTTTTCATCTCACCAGGTAGTCTTGGAAATAACCCTGTATTCTTTCTATCCCGCCGAACATGTACTTAAGGGAACGATATGTAGATTGCTTAATTGCTCAGATATTTCTAATAGAACTGTCTTCTAGACCTTTGAATAAAAATAAATGTGGAGACATAGCCTACAAAGAAGACTTTATTGTTTTGAATTGAGTGCCTTTTCCCCTTGACAAATTATCCACAGAGACAGGCTTTTATGTTCACAAAAGCAAGGTATTCAACAAATGGTTTATGTAGAGCAATTTCTAAAGCAATTTCTTCTGTTGCTCTCAGTTTACCCAAAACCTTATTACTTAGCCCATTAGTTATTTAGACTTTTTTTTTTTTTCTACTGCAATGTGATCCATCACTTCTATTGGTCAGATGCATTTATTTCTCGGTTTTGACTGGAGGACCAAAACCTAATTTTCTCAGAGTCATGTACTTCAGTTTTTATTACAACAGGAGTTTGAAAGAAATCAAGCAAATAGCTGTGTAACATATCCCACTTCCAGCTCCAATTCTCCACTGGGCAGAGGCCAGAGTAGAAGTGACCTGAATTGTTCCCAGTCCTCGTCCTTGCTTTGAGGGCTGACCCCAGGAACCGATACCGTTCTCTATTACTCTTCACTCTTTCACATCATCTGGTGGCCTCAGCCAAGGATGGAGCTCCACCAGGTGGGAATTGTACCAACACGGGGTAAAACCGTGCCCTGCTCACCAGAATATACAGCTGGAATGGGTAAAGATGGGCAAAGGGTGGGAGGAAGCGGTATCATCTCTGTTCAGCATCTGGGGTGCTGAGATGGGAAATTAAGGCTCTGAGTTAAGTACAAAAGTACATCCTGAAGTGTGTTCTTAGAGGAAGAATATGTAGGGAA